ATATATATCTATATATCTATATACACATACACACATGTATATGTCTCCTCTCCCTTGCTCGACTATAAACTACTAAAGAGACAACTGTCTTACTTGTGACGAAGTTTCCTTCAGTGTCTATCACAATGCTTTGCATATAACAGGTGCTTAATAAATGATCAGATCTCCACTAAAGTCCTCCTCAAATATCTAAGACTCACCCAGGGTCACACAGCTAGTAAGTGTCAAGTGTCTGAAGTCACATTTGAACTCAGGTCCTCCTGACTCCAAGGCTGAAGTTCTATCCACTGTGCCACCTAGCTGCCCCTTCTGGCTTCTTTTAAAGTCCAGCTCAAGTGAAACTTCCTACCTATGTATATTGAGCTGCTGCTCCTCTTCATTATCATCATCATACTCATCATCATAAGCAGCTAGCAGTTATGTAGTATTTTAAGGTTTGCAAAGTACCTTAACATAACCCTGGGAGGTAGGAGTTATAATTATTATCATTACTGCCATTTCATAGATGAAAGAACAGAGCAATTGTTAAGTGACTTGCCCAGGGTCACATAGCCAATAAGTGTCTGAGGTAGGATTTTAACCCAGGTCTTCCTAACTCTAGGGCACTACCTAGCTACCTAATAAATATAAAAGTGAGATAGACCCTACCCTCAGGAGCTTACATGGATAAGGGTGGGGGACCACCTATGATATACTCAAAGAAAAGTTAAAGCAAACTGCATACATAATAATTACAAAGTGATCGGGGGAGAGGAGGAAGATAGGATGAGAGATTAACAATTGGGTAAATCTGGAATGGCCCTTTAAGGGTAGCATTTGCACTAAGCCCGAAGGTCCCCATGATTTCCAAGAAGCAGAGGTAAAGATGGAGAATATTCCAGACATGGGGTACATACAACCTATACAAAAGCAAGGAGGAAAGAGATGAGATGTGCTGGCAAAAGGGTAAAGCAAGTACATCATTTTGGCTATAGTAGAGTACATGATGGGGGAATAATCTGTAATTAGCCTAGAAAGATGCAAAGGACCCAGATTATGAAGAACTTTAAAAGCCAAAGGGAGGAGTTTGTATATTGTCCTAAAGGCAATGGGGAGCCATTGAAGCTTCCTGAACAGAGGAATAACATGGTCAGACTAGCACTTCAGGAATATCAAACAGGAGAATGGTTTGCAAGGGGGAAACACTGGATACAAAGAGATCAATCAATAGATTACCACAAACAGTCCTCAAGAAAGGTGATGAGAAATCTGAGGCTCAGAAGGGGAAATTACTTGCCCTAAGTGGCAAAAACAGACTAGAAAGAAACTTCGATATCTCGACCCCCACCCCAGCATTCTTTCTATTAGCTTGACTTTGAATGGATTTCCATTAAACTAGTTAGTCCCTCTACTTCTAAGTTCTTGCTCTACCCAATCCATTCTGCCCATCATGCCCAAATTAATCTTAACTGCTGTTTTCATCTACTTCAAGTCATTCTTAGAACTTCCGATGGCTTTCCCATCACCTAAAAGATAATGTTCATACTCCTTGTTAGGACGCTGTATGACCTGGGCTCCAATCTACCTTTCTAAGCTTCTCTCTTTCAGTTCTCACTGGGCCTGGTCATCAGCCCTGAAACTCACCCAGCATAAGTCAAACACTCCAACACCACCAGTGATTCTGTTCCAGACCCGTTACCTTCCCATCCCCTGTTCTGGAATATCTTTCTGCCTTCTCCAAAACCTTCACCACCCAACTCCAGTATGAGCTCAGAATCTCAAGGTCAGAAGGGACCTCTGAGTCATCCAGTCCAACTTGAACTTGAAGAATCTTCTCTAAAAAATAGCTGAGAAGCTGTCCTCCAGCCTTAACCTGAAACTCTCCCAGAGGCAGGAGCCCCTTCTATTTTGGGATGGACTGAATTGTTAACCAGTTTTCCCCTGAGATCCAAATGAAATCTGCCCTCTCTGCATCCCCTCTTCTCTCTGTCCTCCTATTCTGACGTCTGCACAAAACTCTCTTCCTGAACTACTCTAGTCTACTGTAGAGGATTCTCTCCCTCCTCTGAATAGGTAAAGCACCTACCATCTGTACCCTTATTTGGTGCATCATTCAACAAACATTTAAGTGCTATCTACTGAGCTGGGCCTGTGGGGAGTATGAAGGATCAAGGATTTAGAGCTGGAAAGGACCTGGGAGGCCACTGCATCTACCTCCCTCCCTCTTCATTTTATAGATGAGGAAAATGAGACGCAATGAGATGAAGGGACCCTTCCCCAGGATCCCTAACACAGCTGGTGAGACTCCCCAGACAGGATTGGAAGCCAGCTTTCTTACTCCAAGTCCAGTCCCCTTTCTACCATGTTATAGCGACTACAAAGTCTCTACCCTCAAGGGGCTTCCAATCTAAGATAACACCATCTCAGCATAATTCTTGTATTCTTGTTTGGTTTCATATTAGATTGTAAACCTCTTGACAGCTAGGATTGAATCTTATTTTTTATTTGTACCACCACTGCACCAAGCACACAGTAGCCACTCGATAAATATTGGTTGACTAAGTACACTAACAGTGTAAAAATATCCTAGCCAACCTTTCATTGACTGAATCATGGGAGGAACCTCTCCAGAAGATATCCGAAAGTCAATTTAAACAAAACTTTTGAGAAAATCAGGCCTCCTCCATAAAGAGAGGGGTACCTGCATAGCACAGTAAACTAAAGAGAATGGTTATCTGTTTTTACTGCATTTAGGCAGGGGCATATGCTGAATCTTCCCAGATAGACCATTATGCATCACATTTTTTCTTTTTTTTTTTTATTAATTTATTTTGATTTATCAACAATCACTTCCACAAGCTTTTGAGTTTAAAATTTTTCTCCCCTCCTTCCCCACCTCCCTCCCAAGAAGGCACAAAATCTGATATAGGCTATATATATATACATTCCTATTAAACATATTTTCACATTAGTGAGGTTGTAAGGAAGAATTAGAATCAACAGAATGAACCACAAGAAAGATGAAACAAAACAGAAGGAAAAAAAGAGCAACTGCTTTGATCTTATGCATCACATTTTAAAAAGACTTCATGCAAAAAAAAAAATCCTGAAAAATTCTATTCTACAAGCTGTGCTTCCTCTGTCTGGACATAAGACAATTAAAATTTGTTTTGAAGATACCACTAATTCAGAAGCAATCCAGACTTCAGATATGGTACCATTCTGACTGAATACTGCTCAAGAAGTCCCTAAGAAATTCTGCACAGTTTAACAGGCGTTATTTCTGGAATAGCACTTGTCCAGTAATGGGACACATAGGAAAACAAAATGGTACAAGTTACTGTACCCCTGGAAAATTCCTGCTTATAAACAGATGCCCAGAGCAATGATCTATAGAAAGAACCAATGAAGCACCTAGTTTATTCTCTTCCATTTTACAGAGGGGTAAACTGAGACCACTCCAGGGCTATATCACAGGAAAATGCATCCATCTACAACACTAAGATCCGAGGCCAGAAAAACACACTAAAATTATCAAAACAACAATAACGGGGAAAAAAAACACATTTCCGCCACTTCTGGAGCTTCCAAGATGCATGATCCCACCTTCTTAGTTGAAGGCTGTAAAACTTGTACATGATATTGCAACTAAAACTACTACTGCTCATTAACCATGGAGAGCCCTAGCTATCTTTCAGCTTAAGCACTATCATCATGTTTGCCCTGCTCATTAAACACAGCATAATTTTTAAATGCACTGCCCTACACTGGAAAACAGTAATCAAATCTTTGGAGAGGCTATTCCCAGGACTGGGAAAATCAGGCACCCAGGAGACAACCCTCTCAGATTTCTAAGAATACACAAAGAAGGGCTGAAGCAAAGATTTTCCCGAGGTTTGCATCAAGGTTTATAAGATAGTAGCGCCCTACCCTCAAGCCATGTGGGGTAGACACATGGACTGTTTCCAGATCTAAGCTCCTACGATAAGAAAGGCTGACTGAACTCTCAAGTGTGTCTACAAAATCATCTTTTCTGTTTCCTTTCAAGTACGTGGACAATTTAAGTTCAATGCAAACACTGAGCCCATTACAAAGGGCACACTTTATCAGCGTTACTCATCTTATAAAAGGGAAACCAACCCAGCTACAAACACATAATTTAGGAGATACTTTTAAATGTATCTGTCCTGACAGATCTCTTCCAGGTCGGCACCTCCTCTCCATAAGCTATTTCTTTAATGCACTGAGACAAACAAATACTTGGAGGGCGGGGGTCCCCCTTACGATTACATGGGAAACCTTGTGTTCAAGTCGTTTTTTAAAAATAAAGTGTCACACAATCGGAGAAATCGAATTGCACGCAGTGTCCAACAAGAAACTAGGTAGAATGGGTTACATTATATTGCCTTTTAACTACCGAGTTAAAAGACGCTCAGATTTAGGCCTCGAAGATGTCAGTTTCACTTCTGCTCCCGCGGGAAGCTCAGCGGACCCGCGGACCCACGCACCCGCGGACCCACGGACAGACTCCGGGTCTAATAAGTCATTTAAAATCGCTCCAGAGAAGCCATCCTCCCGAGCTTCGGGGAAAACTTGCCGGACGCCGGGAGCCGGGGCAGGTTCCCGAGGCCGGCACACACTCGCTTGCTTGACCCCTTCCTCCCCGGACCCGCGGAGTCCCCGCCGCCCGGCTCCCCCACGCCTTCTCGGCAGGCTCCCCGCGGGGCAAGCGGCGAGAGGCAAAGCCCCGGGCCCAGCCGCGGCCCGGCCGAGCGCTCGGCTCCACAGGGAGGGGCAGGGGACCCCAGTTACGCTCGGGTGACAAAGCCCCGGGGGACGCCCCGGCCCCAGCCACGCGCAATCATCTCCCAGGACAAACGGGCAGAAGAAGTGGGGCCAGCCCCGCACGCACCCCCCGCAGCCCGCACCGCCCCACGGCGGGCGGGCCCAGGCCTCGGCTCCGCTCCCGGCCCGCTGCCTCCGGGCCCCGGGGTTCCCTTCCCCGCCGCCTCCTCCCTCACCTGCTTTCTCGATCTTGCCAGACATTTCCGGGCTGCGCCGGAGGCCGAGGCCGCCGTTCCTCCGCGGCCCGGGGCGCACAGGCCGGCGCGGGAGGGCGGCCCGGGGAAGGCTCCGCTCGGCCCTGGCTCGGCGGCGCCTCAGTCCCGCTGCCGCAGCATGGCCCCGGCTCCGGGGCTCCGGGGCTCTGTCCTTCCTTCCCCGGAGGGCGCGCCGGCCGAAGGCCGAGTGGACACTGCGGCGGCGGCGGTAGCGGCTCCTGCTCCCGAAGCTCCCGGGCGGCGGCTGCTGCTCCCGCTGTGCCTGCTGCGGCGGCTGCTGCTGCTGCTCCCGCTGCTCCCGCTGCTCCGGCAGCACCTCCTCCTCCTCCTCCTCCTCCTCCTCCTCCAGCCGCCGCCGCCGCCGCCAGGACCCGCGGAGCCCGGGCCGCCGCCGCCGCCAGCGCCAGCCGGGCCAGAGCCGGAGCCACAGCGCAACCTGCCGGGCGGCCTCCGCACGACAGCGCGCGGAGCGGCGGCCCTGACCAGCAGCGCCCTCGGCGGGCCGAGCCCGGAGCCGAGAGCCGGGAGCCTGCCGAGGCCTTCCCAGCCCCGAGGACGCAGCGCCCCCTCCTGGCCTGAGCCGGGCGCCAGCCCGCCCAGGGCCTTCCGTGCCCCTGCCCCGGGCACGCAGTGCCCTCTCCCGGCCACTCGCCCCTCCCTGCCCGAAGCCCGACCCTCTTCCCCGCCCTGCTTCCTTACTCGACCCCGGGGCCCAGAACGCTTTCCCAGCGAGGCCCCAGTTACATTCCACCTAGCACATATTTCTTAAGAGCTTACCATATGCCAGGCACTGTGCGTGCGCAAGAATGAAACAAACAAGCCCTGCCCTCAAGGTGCTTACAATCTAATGGAACGCCCTCCCTCTCCCAGACTTGTTCACTTTGGTCCCCTGCAACCCAGCGCCCTCTGCTGGGCAAGTTCTTCTCCCGTCATCCCGGGACCTAGAGCCCTTTCCCAGCTCCGTTCCTTTTCTTTCTGGTAGAGTGAAGGAGACGGGGGTACGTACCCAATCTGCTTAGTTCAGTTCAATTCAATTGGATGTTTATTAAACATGGATGGGTGTCTAGTAGGTAGAATAGTGAACTTGGAGATAGGAAGTCCTGAGTTCAAATTCCTCCTCAGAAGCTTCCTAGTCAAGTGCATCACTTCACTTTTGGTGCCTCAGTTTCTTCATCTGTAAGATGAGAATAATAGCTCCTACTAAAGGATCAAATGAGGTAACACATGTCAAGCACTTTGCCAGCCTCAGAGAGTTGTATAAATGCTAGCAGCTGTGTGCAAAGCACCCAAATCACTGGCACTGGGGTCCCAACAGCCTTTCTTTCCTTTCTGCCAGGATTTTTGCATAGATTCTATAAAAAGCATGGCAGAAGGGGATCATGCCGGAAGCCAAGAAAGGGTGACGTTTTTTCAAACTTGTGACCCTCTCTGAATTGACTGAAATAGAAAAACCACGAGAAAAGGCTCTCAAGGCATGGTTCATGCTTGTGTGGCCTAGCTTCAAGATAGGGTGGTTTCACCTACTCCAGGATAACATTTCCCAGTGTGATCTGTCTTGGGCTGCATATCCACTGCTACTTACTGAAGGATGATTTAATAATTTGAATTCCTGATTTGTCCTTTGCTACTTATGTGATCTGGAGCTAGAGATGGGCTAGTAAGTGCTTAACAACTAGCTCTCTGGGGGACATGGAGGGGGGGAAGATGTACCCAAGACACATTTTAAGTTAATCAGCATCATTTTAAAAAATATTTATTAACATTTTATCCATCATTTTCGTGTCTAGACAAAACAACAAAACAATAAGCCGAGGCATGATTTATAGTTTTGCCAATTTCTGAAGTGTAAATACACTGAAAATTTAACTGCCAGCTCTGATGGGCTGGTATGATCTGGCTCAGGTGTATAATGTGCTGCCTGGGTACCTTAATGTCTGTGGGCCTTGGTTTCTTCAGCCCTAAAATAAGGGTGGGGCAGCTAAGTAGTGAAGTGGGTAGAGTGTCCTGTGTGGAGTCAGGAAGACTCATCTTCATGAGTTCAAACCCAGCCTCAGACACTGACTAGCTATATAACCCTTGGGCATGTCAGTTAACCCTGTTTGCCTCAGTTTCCTCATCTGTAAAATGAACTGGAGAAGGAAATGACGAACCTCTATGGTACTTCTGCCAAGTATTGGACACGACTGAACAGTAAGAATAAAGTAAGGATTTGGAATACAGAGGATCTTTAAGGTCTCATCTGTGGTCATAACATGCGGTGATCCCGATATAAAAGGCGCCCTGGTATTGCCTCAAAAATGAAAAGCTGAAAGTTTGTAAATAATTTGGCTTTCGGTGGGGTACAGTGGGAAGCGGACTAGCTTTGGGATCTGAGGCCCTTGGGTTCCAATCTTGACTCTACCACTGGGCAAGTTACTTGACCTCATCTGTAAAATGGGGGTATTGTATTTGAAGATCTTTGGGGTTTTGTTGTTTTGGGTTTTTTTTGCTTTTAGGCAATTGGGGTTAAGTGACTTACCCAGGGTCACACAGCTAGGAAGTGTCAAATGTTTGGTCTGAGGCCGGATTTGAACTCAAGTCCTCCTCACTTAAGGGCCAGTGCTCTATCCACTGCACCACCTAGCTGCCGCACTGTAGTTGAAGATCTTTATGGTCTCTTCCAGCTCTAGATCTATAATCCATGTGATCAGGTATTTACCAAGGCTTACTGAATGAAAACCCTTCTAGTACTGAGACATATACAAAGATAACAAAGCAAAGTCCCTGCCTTCAAGAAGCTTATAGTCTACTTGGGGATAAAAGGTATAAATACACATGGAAAGGTTAATTAGGGTTGAATCCAAGAGCTATCCAAGTGACTAGGCTACTTACCAGCCCTTAGATGACCTTTTGGCCACTTACATGTCAGGTTGGGCATATATATGCTTCAGGAAAAAACACAAAATCATTTCACCTAGCACCATCTGCAAGTCTACTTTGCTCTCCTCTTTGCCACAAAGGAGAAGGGCTAGCCCTGAAGGTAGAAGAGACATGGGGCAAACTGAGATTCAAAATTGTATCTCTCTTCCTACTCCACAGGTCGCTGGCTCCATTAACCTATATGTTATTGTTCAAGCCATGTCCAACTCTCCGTGACCCATTTGGGGTTTTCTTGGCAAAGATACTGGAGTGGTTTGTCATTTCCTTCTCTGGCTCATTTTACAGATGAGGAAACTGAGGCTTGCCCAGGGTCACACAGCTAGTAAGTATCTGAGGACAGATTTGAACTCAGAAAGATGAGTCTTCCTGACACCAGGCCTGGCATTCTGTCCACTGTGCCACCTTGCTGCCCCCATATAGCTAGATGTACATTGCAACTAAAAAGCTTCCAGTCCCCTCACTTCCTGGACTCCAGGGGTCAAAAGGAAAGCCAAAGATTGACAAATTCATTCACTATTCAAGTGGATGAATAGTTTCTGAGCGCTAGGGCTCTGATCCAATGTCTGATTTCATAGTCCTTTCCCTTGTAAAAGAGGCAGCTGCATTTCCGAAGCAAAACTGGCATGTGGCCATTCCTGTGCTTCCCCCAAGACTGGAATCCTCAAGCCCCTACCCTGCTAAGCTACCAAGCTGCTGGTGATGGCATTCACTGTTTCAAAGTTGAAGTCTATCTTTCAAGATAGAAGGCAAGGCTGAATAAGTGCATTCTAGTTAGCAGAACAAAATAGGTTTCATGGAACAGATAAAGTCTATAGAAATAGTTTTTTTCTTTGTGGATGGTGGGGAAGAATCCAGACATGTGATTTCATTGGTGTAGGGAATTCCCAGTGTGGAAAACCCTGCCACAAATGCAGATCAACAGCTCCTCTCTTAACTTATAGTCCAGGGGCATAGATAGATAGAGCAATGGAGAACAGTGCTTGCTCCGTGCCAGGTACTGTGCTAAGTGTATTTCCCTCTGGCTACATGATTTATGTGCACTCTTCACTCTCTGTCTGCTGCCCTTCCTGGTTTCAACAAGATGCCCCTCCAGGATAAGCTCATCCCTTCTAAACTCACCACCAGGCTGCTATCTCAAGCCTTGATTGACTCCATCTTCCTCAGCCTCCTCTCCCTTCTGTTTGGAGGGCTGAAGGGCAGAGCACCAAATTCCTCCCAATGCCTTCTTTTGTAGAGGGCAGAAGCTGTACTCTCAGATCACTCCACTCTGCATCTGCTGCCCCGCCTGAGGTTGCCCCTGCAGTGGGTCCCCCGTGGTGTCCAGTTCTCATCTCCCTTCCACCCCCATCCCCACTCAGGCGCTTTCCTGCCTCCTTTCTCATGTCGACTCCCCTTTAGATTGCAAGTTCGTTGCGGGCAGGAATTGTCTTTTTTTTTTTAAATTAATTGTATCCTCAGCACTTAGCACCATGCCTGGCGCTTAATAAATGTTTATTGGACTGGATTCAACTCCACTATCATTATGCCCTACTTGCCACTCCCACCCCTAAAAAGGAACTACCAGCTGCCGGGAAGTTCATGATTCCCAGAGATTGCATCAGTTCTCTTAGTTACTTCTGCACCCCTGATTGGAAGGCTGGACAGTGGAGCAAAAAAAAAATTCCTTCCAGGGTTAGAAGCCTAGCTTCATTTCCCAGGTACCTGCTCTGCCCTGCTTCAGCTTCCTTTTGTCTTCTACCTTTCAATTGTAAGCTCCTTGAGAGCAGGGATTGTTTTTCTTTCTCTTATTTATACTCCCAGCACTGAATACAGTGCCTGACATATAGTAGGTGCTTGTTAATAAATGTTTATTATGTTGTAAATATGAATGTAAGCAACAATAGCAAAAAAAAAAAAAGGCCTTACCTTCAAGGAGCTTGCATCAGGTTAAGATAACACATAAAAGGGAACTGGAAAGGAAGTGGGCAGGGGGACCTACAAGATGGAGAGTCAGGAGAGAGTCATGAGTGGAACTAGGAAAGAAGCGAACATAGATGCTCTGGGACTTCCTTAAATGGTGGTTCTGGGCAGAAACTCACCCATCAGAAGAGGGACAATAAGGGAAGAAGTCATCTCCAGGGAGAGGAGACTGCTGTGATGGAGGCAGGAAGGTCTGATGGGTCTGGATTGAAGCCAGGAGAAGTTAGTATAATGACTTCCCAATGGCCACCCAGCTAGTATGTGTCAGAGAGAAGCCTCCAACCTAGATATTCCTGACCCCAAGGGCCAGCTCTCTCTACCTCCTACCCAGCACAGTGGTGTTGCCTCTCATCCTAAAAATGTATGTTTAATCAAAGACTAACATAGAAACACTTCCAAGATTATGCGGGCAA